AGCTGCCACACTGAAAGGCTCATAACTGGATAATTGATACGCCAAAACCAATCAAACGAGTAAATTATAGTCAAAGTTGATTAATCACATTATCTCTATGCAGATATAACCGATTTGAGGGGTTTCAAGACATCTCGGATAATCTCATACTAACTCAGACAAGAAACAAATGCTTGTCCCAATTAATTCGAACAGTATAGTATTTTATAATTAATTTAATAATAGTAAGTTAAGAACAAGCTTAATAATTACCAGTTACCTTTTGGACTTGTCATATATAAAATTATCTACAAAATTTAACACTCATCTTGATAATTTGTACGGTTTATAATTAATCTCTTAACTGCGGATTAAAAGTTACGCGATTCGGTCCCCAATACCACCCTTTTCCACGAAGGCGCGTGTATGTGATGTCTGCGGAAGAAAAAAAAATAAAGAAACAAATCCTCTGAAATAAGTAAATCTTTAGCAAACACTATCAAGCTTATTTTACTGCATTCCAAAGCCGTTGGAATAATTTCATGGATAACAGTGCACAGAAAAGATCGTACTTCGGAGAGACGTATATGTACGTCCGGAGCACTTAATACCTTGCCTGAGCGAGATGTTTATATACGCCAGTGGTCTTTGAGTGGTTAAAGTCGTATTGTAGCTTTAGCGTTTGAATTCAATATATTGTTATTGTAGGAAGGGGGATGTGATGAAAATTACGATTGAATATTAGGTTGCAAATATTGAAAGTTTGAGAAGCACTGCTTTATACGTATTTACTTTAATTACTAATTATTGGTATTTTTCATTATATTGCAGATATAGATGTATTGGCATGATAGATGAGACATGTTGCTGTTGATACGCATTTACTTTTTGTAGAAGAACATATATTACATAAATAGCACACACACATACACACAACAAAAACAAGATCGACTTTTACCTCAATTCTGTTCGTGATCAACTTTTATGGTAAATTATGTGTGGTGATAAACTTTATATGGTACGTATTTAATACGCGTCTAATTTATTAACCCTTTAACTGCCGATTAAAAGTTACATGATTCACTCTCCAGTGTCATCGTTTTTCAAATAGGCACGCATGTGCCGTGTATTGGATGGATTGGAAAGAAAATATATAAATAAATAAATCCTTTTCTCTGATATAATTAAATCCTTAGCAAGCACTATCAATGTCCTTTTATTGCATTGGATAGTTTTTCTGATAGCAGCTCTAAGAAAAGAATCGTATACTTCGGAAAGACACACACACACACACACACACACACATATATATATATATATATATATAATATATGCACGCCAAGAGTAGTTAATGCACCGGTTGAGCGAAACGAATATATACTCTGGCAGCAGTTTAAGGAGTTAAAGTTCTGTGTCTTAGAATGCATAAACCATTCGTATTTGCGTAGTTAATCTTTGATAAATTACAATTAATAATCAAGAACAAAAATTAGATTGATGCTTCATTGCTGAAATTTAGCTTCATTGGAATTGAGAAAAAGATATATATTGTTGAGCAAAAACATTTTGAGAACTTCCACATTTTTCAATTAACTTGCCTGAATGACGTAGATTAAAAGAAAATGGTATTTAACTGCTGCTGTAGAAGGCAAGCTATCATTCTTGTACTTAATTTTGCGAGTGAATAAAAAGGGGGCGGATCTAAGCGTATTTGAGGGCAGATTCTAATGGCCCACAGACTCAGAACAAGTATCTCCGAAGAAGCATGACTGGCAGGTTTTCGTATTCTGCTGTTTTTAGTATTTATGCAAAGTTCATAAATAACGGTAAAACCAGAAGTACACACCTAGCTGTTGGACGTCCCCGCGTCAAGGAAAGAGGACGTTGGAAGTTGTCGCGCTTTGTAAAGCAAAATTGGGGCCAGACAGTGATTCAGCTGATAGCGCAATACAATGTAGGTCCAAGTGCGAGTGTTACGGAACATACAGTTCAGCGGACATTGTTGGATATGGGATTGCGCAGCAGATGTTCCATTCGTGAGCCTCTGTTGACCAAGCGTCATTGCCAACTACGCCTAGAGTCGGCTCGGAAACATTGAGACTTGAGTGTTAATGAGTAGAAGAAAGTTTTCTGGTTGTACGAACCATGATTTCTCATTCATAGCGTTGATGATTATGTCAATGTGTGCCGTCTTCAACAGTCGAAGAGTTGCTTCCTCCATTTACATATACTGGTGACGGCGGTATTATGCTTTACAGAACGTTCTCATGGATGACTCTGAGACCCTTAGTTCTGGTATATCTTTACATAATTGCGGATCAGTTGCACCCTTATGTGGCGTATCTTTCCCCAAATGGAATCTTCTAGCAGGACAGCGTTCCATGTAAAAAGTCTAGATTTATGTTAGAATGGTTCGAGAAGCATCAAGATGAAATTCAATTAATATCTTAGATTCCTAACTCAGCGCATCTTATTCTGATATAGCACATTTGAGAGAAAGAAAGGCAGCTTAGAGATCAAATATCTTCATGTTGGAATATCTCGACTGTACGTGACCATTGCTTATATAATTAATAATCTTGTCTCCAGTCCTCTACCAAGAACTCTAATGATATCCAATCCAAGGTAAGTTGCAGTTGTTTTGCAGGCACACAGTGACGCAAAGGGTTTTTTTTAGGTATTCATAATGTTTTGGCTCATCAGTGTATGTATGTTATAAAATGTTTAACCAGATTCTTCAATATAGATAAATCAATAAGAAATCAAATAAATATTACTATTTCAATGAAGCAGCACATTTAATGCAAGAACTTCTACGTTACAGCTTACAAGACAACGCCCATATATATATATATATATATATATATATATATATATATATATATATATACATATATATATATAGAGAGAGAGAGAACATATAAAACCCCTTGCACCACCACAAAGTATCACATGGAAGGTTACATAGAAGTAAGCGGGAAGCACACATCACAAAGAAGAGAAGGAGTACAACACAAACATCCATGCCTTATCCGGGATTCAAACCTGCTTCTACGGCACCGCAGTCAGCGTCACAAAGCACTATACCGGATGGATGGCTGCCCAAGTATATAATAACAAAAAAAGGGAAAAGGTTACAGCTAAGATTCCTCTCATTTAATAGTTTAGCAGTTTCTCCACCCACGCTAGTTGGGGGGAACACCTATGATATGGTGGCTGATGAACCTTGGGTGGAAACTCAACAAGTGTCTTTCCAAAAGAATAGTCAGTACGTTTATTTAAAAAACTCTTTTTGGTTTTATAATTTACTCATCAAAGCGATAGACACAATTCGCTTTCGAGACCAATCGGTCAAACGGGATCGACTTGTTGCCCACTCCTGTTTTATCTGACAAAATGGTATCGTAAAGAAGCTCAAAACACTTGATTTGACATAAAAAAAATCAAAAATAACTAGGAACCTTCACACATACAAAAAAAACTCTTTTCATATCAACTAATTCGAAGAACTCAATACCTATAAACCTCAAAGTTCCTCAATGCACTTGGAAACCGATTCTTAAATGAGATTTTTGGGAGTTTACTAGGAAATGCCATCAAGAAATGCAGATCTTACAGAGTATTAACGTCGCACCATAAAACAATGCAAGGGTTATTGGCAACGGACCTCGTAATTTTGAACCGCGTTCAAGTGCCAAGGAAGTCACCTGATCTGGTACCCCCTTCCAAACTACCACATCCCATCAACGACAAGACGCTTGAGCCACGACAGATTTACCTTTCACCAACTCTTCTACACGGTGGATCTTTAGTGGCACGGGGCTCGAACTCATGACGCTTCAGCCACGAGCTCGTGACCATTACCAAGATCTTACAGAGAGATTCGATTGGTTGATGTCTAGAGTTCAATAAGAATCTCTATCTGAAAAAAAGTTTCAAATATTATAATTTAAAAAAAGTCCTTTGAAAAATTCAATTATATGTTAAGAAAACTCACCTGCAACAATAGAATATGCGTTTGTTCCGACCCAACCAAAAGAAACTGCTGGGCGTGATGATGTTATTGGTTTTACCTTCGACAGCATTCACGAAGTATATGTTTGGAGTCCACAACTTTTCCAACCAGTGGGAATCCAGAACTTGGTAGTTCTTCTTTAACCAGGATGGATACAAAAGGCGATAGTCGTCCCATGATTGCCATAATTCAATTGTGACTGAAAAGGACTGAAAAAGCAGTAATAGGTTTTGAAAAATGCATTTATATAAGTCCCACACACACATATAAAGAAAATGCAGCACCATGAAGGAGAGGGTAGAGTGTGATGCAGACGTATTATACCATCAAATCAAGAAAAATCGCCAAATACCGTGATATGCAGCTAATGGTGAAAATTCATTCCCTTGGATGGTCAAACAGAACACTTGTATTGGTAATGGGTTAAGTGGGAGCATTTGGTTCTTTCGAATCTTTGTTTCCTTTCCTGGCATTTTGATGACTTTATAAATGATTTCTCAAATTGGCATTTTTATAGATGCTGAATATTATATGATAATAAAATACAATTACTATTGAAGACTAGAATTACTTTCGTCTGACAGAAATTGCATATGTTATGAGAGGTTAAAGTTGAGAGTAAAATGCTATTTGGGAGTGGGAAGGACGAGCATAGCCAATACAGACGCAAGAAAGAAATCCGAATGTGAGATGAGAAAAATTTGGATGGAAAAATTTTGTCCACATTTGTCTCGAGAGGAGCTTCTGTGATTGACTAATCAGAATGATTAGCTATTTTTACATTCAAGTTGGGAAAAGAAACTCGAAAAATCATTGAATAGCTATAAGTTCAAGCTAGTCGAACTGCAAAATTTAGAGATTATCTTCAGTAAGAAAGGAAAAAGAAAACTTTAAATAAGGAAAAAATAATTTAATAGAAAATGAAGTTTAAAAAATTAGAATGAAAAATAATTAAAAATAGAAATGAATTATTTAGATAAATTCTGGGTCTATGTTTCAAAAATGCCAACGGCCCCTGGTGTTCGCAGATGGTTATCTTTCCGAGTACTGACCGCGACCAACGATATTTAACTTTGGTGATCGGACGAAACCGGTGTTTTCAACATGATATGGCCGTCGGTAAACAAAATACGATGCTTTTTGACTTGGTAAAATGGGTCGACGGTTAATACTTAAGTACCGGGATGAAAACGCATACATATGTAGAGAATGTATATACACATAAGTATTAAAATATGGTGATTTTAAAAGTACTTTCTAAGAGACGGACCACAGAATTATATAAAACTGTTTATTATATTACAGACATTGCCTGAAAGAACTTTAGAAATTAAAATATGCTTGGAATCAATTACGGGTGGCGCTTTGGTAAAATCACCATTTTTGACGCCAAATCGTTTTTGTTGCCAAGGGTGTATTAAAATAGAATACAACTAATTCTATAAATGAAAGGTAAAATACCCATTTTTTTCTCTTTCATATGCATAACAGCAGTTAAAAATAATTCATACATATCAGCAGTTACATTTTATACACAAGTACGTGACACTTACCATATCTGATTCATCTATAGAACGTATATTTGCATCTCTAATGCTAACATTTACGCTTACTGGAGTATCTGTGGGAGGAAAAATAAAATACATTGTTACTCTTAAGAAATCCCTACTTTTGTTTTTATTTAATATAAAATTCAATCAAAAAATTAATCATTACACAAAAGCATGTTAACTCTTTATCTACCGCATTATGATTTACTGTAATTTTCTTCATGCAATATTTTTTCTTTGAATCACTACATTGAAAAGTAAGGGATATACATAAATAAAATACTCAACTTTGGGAAATTTAATCCGTTGGAGATAATTAATTAAATCGGTACTTTAAAGTAACGTCAGTCCACAAACGTCTAAAAAATACTTATAATACGATAAGATTTAAGAACTTTTTTAACAGAGTTTTAACTTTAAAAAATGCTAAATAACCAGAGAACACTATTATTTTACAGCACAAAATATTTATATTTTTAAGAACTATTAAATTTTAAAAATTTATTTACTTTTTTACCCATAAAATCAGGTTTTACACATAAACTTAATTTGATGATATTAAAAAAGAAACATTTTTTTCCATTAATACACAAAAATTCATTATACACTTTGTGCATTTTGAGTGAGGTTTCCATTGAATGTTTTTTGAAGCACTGCATCCTGGGGTAGAAAATGCTGTATTATCTTCATATGATCTATTACACGTTTTGTCCAGTCACTTGATCATCATCTCAAGAATCTAACGAAAATAACAGCAGATTATATGTCGAGACTTCTTCATTTGAAAAATCATCTGTTAGTACATCACTCATTTCAGATGGTAGGTTCAGTAGTTAATCCAAAGCCTCTTGAAGACTGAGCTTCTTTTTTCTATACTTTCTAAGAAAAAGAAATAATAATAATAGCACCCTGAAAATCTCCAATTATTCTTTAATCTCAGTTACACGCATAAAAATTAAAATGTTAATTTTTGAAATAAGAATAGATATATTTCAGTTAATTACGTGAGGGGGGGGGGAAGTTCAGGTTCAAAGTTCAAAATTTTTTGAAAACGTTTAAGTAAAACAATAAAGAAGCAAAATAAATAAGTCATGCTAAAAAGAAATGCCAAAAAAAAGTATAAATCTATTATACTGTAGGGATGACGCTACAGCATAACAAAAACAACAACAAGCTACACGGACGAAAAAAAACTAAGCTTTTGCTCTAACACCCAGAGTGCTGTCGGCACTTATAAGTATCACAAAATTATTCAACTGTAAAATTAATTATATGCATTGTTCACTTAAAAGAAATAGTCAAATAGTTTTCTAAGATCTTAAATAACATGCAAATAATAAGGCTCTTACCTATTGACATAAAATACTTTTTCGGAACAAAGATGGCAATCTCTCTTCGCAATTCGATCAATCTGTCAGCTGAAAACGCAACTTCTGCTTTACAACTATTCGCTTTCCCCGCTAAAATACTCATCATAGAACCCATGCTGTCATATATCTTGGAAGAGTGGATTTAAAAGACTATCCCTTCTAAGTATCGTCACAGTATTCGTAAAAATGGTTATTCTATATAATTTTAATGTGAGTGGTATTTATATAAGTAGCGTTGGTAGATATATGGTTAATCAGTCAGACATTAATATAAATCGATAATACATCATTAATCTACTTTTGGATCTTTACATTTATGTTTCAAAATCTGAAATTTCCATGCGTTTTCCTATTACATAAAAGAGGAGAAAATGGGTGATACTATGTTATTTTTTTTAAAAAAAACCCTTTTAAATAAGGCTTTTAACCAACGAGAAATTCGAAACGCTCTACAAATGTGAAAAACCGCTCAGCATTTTATAAATTATCGTTTTAGCAATGCTTATAGATATAAACATATAAGTGGAGTTCTTCATTATCAGATTGAGTGTAAATATAATTTTCTGCTCCTTTTTAATATATATGTCCTAGATACGTCAATATTTGTAGTAGATTGATTCAAAGATAGTTGCTAAGTTGAAACCAAAACTAAAAATTAAATAAATATTTTTTTCTAAATAACTTATAGCGGAATAAGATGTTTGATCAATGTAATGATGAAAAATACGCCGTGAATTTTGTCTTTTCGAAACAAAAATTGAATCAATCATTTTTCTTATCTTTTTTTTTCCACGGAGAAAAAATTTCGTTAGTAAAAAAGCACTCAGTAAAAAAAAAATAGCTGATTTATCTTAAAGTACTCAATTTGAATTTTTAAATTTTTTTCAAAAGGTATTAATCACACATTTAAGTCTAAAATTTTTAAATTACTTTAAATTTCCTAAAAAGTTAGTTCCGTTGAGAGTTAAACACATTTTCCGTTTAAATGCGAATAAAAAACATAAAATAATAAAGTACTTATACACATTTTTGATGGCTTTCTTCTACTTATACTGTTACTATGTCTGTGGGTCAATCTTTAAAAATCTTTCTCTGACATTTTAAACAGCTTAATTGAGCTGAAATTTTCTCTACACGATTATTTTGGATGGTAATACCATAATTTAATTATTTATTAATAAAAATTAAATGATCAAAACTAATTATTTGAAGAATTAAAATTTACTCATAATTTCAAGTGATAACGTGAAACAGTTGAATATTGAAACCAGGAAATTAAACCATCCCTTCGTAAAATTAAATTATTAAAACTAATTATTGAATAAGCCCACTGGCTGAATGGTAGTGCATCGCGCTTCCACACCACAGGTCCGAAGTTCGAATACCGGACTGGGCAAGGTCGACTCAGCCTTGGAACCCTTCAGTGGGTCGATAAATGACTACCAAACTTGCTTGGGAACTTAACACTGGGGGATTCATGTCAAACCGGAACATCTGGTCATGCACCTCAGGACCCAAGGTCACGTATACTGAGTTGGGCACAGTAGGCCTTGGCCCTCATGGGCTATTGCGCTACTGGGTTAAGTAAGGTTAATTATTGAATGAATTCATTTTGACTTTTTTAACATTCCCTTTAGCTTTTAAAATTTAAGGTACAAAAAAATTATGTTACGCAAATTGTAAAGTTTAAAATAAAACACATATTTAAAAAAAACTCGTTTTTTACAAGTGTAATCATTTTGTTGCTGTTGTTGTTGTAGTTAAAACTTTACATTAACATATGAGAATCTCAAAATAGAGTTTGCTTGCATGCTAATAAAGTACTCCTATTCAAAGTTTATTTAAGCAAATTTTAGTATAAGTAGCTAGATATAGAAGAGTAAATCAATTTCAAAATAAAACTAATGATCCGACTGGATAAGTCACTGGAAAGAAAACTGTTTATTGGTTTGTGCAAAAACTATTGATTTCTTTTTATTTGAGAAGCATTTTGTTGCTCTTTAATGCACTCAAGTCATGTAATAAGGCAATTATGTCACATAAAATTGAATAAGAATATTTATGGAAAAGAAAGCTCCGCGTTTAGAATTTTGTACTCAATATTGATATTTTGAAGGATTTCATGTAGAAGTAAGCAGTGTTGTAAATTAATTGTAAAATGAATAGATGGCACTGCAAGTCATCTGAGAGGTATGCTTTGTTCAGCTTGTAGAGTAAGAGTTATATAATGTTCTTTGTGCTGAAAGCATGTCATCTGTATGTTTCGTCCAACAAACCAAAATGCCTGAGAAATGAGCTGAATTACTGGAATAAGATGAAAATATAATGGAAATATAATCGTCTTACTGCCATGGAATTAAGAATTAAAGAAATATAACAAGCAGTGTATTAAAACATATTTCTTTTTCCTACGAAACAGTGCGATTAGAATACATAACTTGAAATATTTTTCAATCTGAAAAAATAGACAAGATTTAACCCCTTAAGTGGTGAATTTTTTTGCCCAAAATGTTTTTTTAAAAAACGTATTTTTATTGCATTTTACTAAGCATAATACTTAAGAGAATGCGAAAATGGAAGAATTTTGTCTTAGTTTTAAATTTTAAAGTTTTAAAACCATTTTTTTATTTTATCATTGGGGAACACAAAAATTCCTAAATGTTTGCCGTTTATAAGTACACTCTGCATTCTATGAAGAATGTTTCATATATATATCCTAAAAGAATTTCTCCCATACTTACAAAAAAATTTCTCGTTCGTACCTCTTTTTCAAATGGTTGAGGATTTTGTGTGCGGGTGCATATACTATATACATATTCGTATATGCTCACACAATTTGAAGCATGGTGTGTAATACTAAGTCCTATATTGCAATGGGGATAGAGATAATGTTAACTTTTTTTTTGGAGTACCTTGTGATACCCCGCGGCCCGGGGGTACCATCTCGTCATCCACGCGACCTAGATTTGTAGAAAGAAATGATTGATCACCCAAATTTGTCATAATAAATCTAATTTATTATTGTCTAAATATATTGATCAACACAACACAAGTCTTACTTATAGGGATGTAATCAGAAGTAATACAACGTAATTCTAAGTTCTAAGTAAATAGCGCCTGAAATTCTATCTTTATGAAAAGTTATTCTAAGAATCTTTATCTGCCTTAGATTCCTTAACACACTAATGTCTCCGTTCT